TTGCATTGAGCCGTTGACCTCGTTTGTATGCCTTTTTAAACTAAAGAATACTGGACTGCAGGCTCAGCTGTAATAACAGCGGGAAATAAACGCCACTTACATTCGCATTACTTTCATGAGGCGTTTTAAAATTTCTTCTAATACAAGGGTTTCATTAAGGGCTGGGCACCAGGCAAATTGACCGGTTTTGAGGACAATTTTGCCCAGCTTGTTTGACCACCTAGTGGAAAGTTCTTGTTATAAAGAATTTCAGATCAAGTAGTTTTGCCCGCCTGCAAAAACCAGTTGCCCTCCTGGGGAAAACGTGGTGAAACTGCTGATAAAAAGGTAATAAAAAATTACTTACGTTGTTGATGAGCCAACATCAAACATGGAATGTCATCAGGATGAGCAACCATATAGCCTGACAAATTAAATGCCTGCTTGTCACTATAGAACAAAGACTTTTGTCCCCTGTTGGGAGAGAGAAGTGAAGAAAAACTTTTTAAGTAAATCTTGGTAGCAATGGGGTAAAAGCATGACACAAACAATGTTCTAACTGGGCATCTGAATAAGATAATGGCATCCATCAATTGCAGGAAACTAACAAACATGCAGACAGAACATATTGGGAGCAAGCCGAGGAGGGATATGGGGGGGGGNTGGGGCAAAACTAAAAACATTCTGTGGGGGTATGGATATTTTCTGGAATGACACCATACCACCCCACCTGTGGGCAACATTAATCCTTTTGGTCACTATTAGATAACTTTGAAGTCTTAACTTGATGGACTACAAAGCTCACAAACAGACTTGACTAGGAAGCAATATTTACCTGTTGTCCAACTTGCGTATCCTCAGGTCCAAACCCATCTTACAGCTGTACATTTGAAGTAACTCTTTAGGAGTACTGGTAAAAGGGTTGGCAGGATTGACTGGAGTACACAGAGCAAATAACCCATACTGCTTCATCTTACCATTCAGCAATGGCTTGATGTGGCCATCAAATTTAAATGACTGCATGGTGATAATGACAAAAAAATAGCACTTGTGAGGATAAATTGATTTGCTAAGTTTTGCAATCAAAATGTTGCACTTCCCATGCAGAGGCCATGCAACTAAGAAGTCACATTGAGTCATTAGTCACACGTGCTAGTAAAGTTTGAAAACCTAATGTCTTAGAAAAAGACACAGGGCTGTAATTAATGTGATGCTGCTCAACACAGGGCTGTGCTGAGTAGACAGCACCTTGCAATTATAACTTTCATCTGCGGTGAAGATGACTGACAACTCAATGCTTGGAAAACATTCAAAACACAATACCCAGTAGAAGCTTGAAGTTATCAACACCTAGTAACATTATAAGACCGCTTCTTCGAAGCTTAAGACTTATAACTTTATACATGTCAAATAGCAGCAGCTAGCCAACTGCACCTTCCCACATTGTGGGAGGGTGTAGTTGTACAGTTCCCACGGAGTAGTTCCCATTGTTTTTACTACATTATTGTTAGCATTCACCACCTACCCTGTAATAAAAGGGACTGACGTGGCTTGACTGTCTTCCAGCATGACACTTGATGCTACAGAAACACACTTGAGGAATTGGTTGTTCTAGAAAAAAAGATCTTAACATTTTAGAAATAAGTGAAGACTAAAACATACTCATTTCATATGAAACAGTTAACCTGCTGGTTTCTGTTATGTCTGGACTGTGGTTTTCTCGATAACCCAAGAAAAGAAAAGTCAACTTTGCAATCATTTTGTACTTGCTATGTGGTCCACACTATTTTGATGCTTTGCGAGCTTGTTTGAAGACAAAGCAAACATCTAAATTTGGTACTGAGTAAAACACATAGCGTAATCAGTCTGACGTTTTCCCAACCATTAGTACATCTATCTGTATCTAAATCTGTACTTTAATATGTAAAATAGTACATGCTGCCTTAATTTTCCCCATGTATCTTAAAATAACCTAGTATATGGTTTGTTGTGTCTAAAGAATTAAATTTATTAAGTCATCTTAAATTCAATATATCCTCAAGCCTAAACATAGTTGTAAAAGCCTTTGGTGAAAAAGCAAATGAACTTCAAGAAACAGAAAGTTGGGGGTGAGGAAGTAGCTCCGACTGACTTTCACATCCCATCTAAGGGGAGGGGGGGAGGGGATAGCACAGGAAATTAAAAATTTCAAATTAAAATAATTCCAACTTTACTTGTTTACAATTTAAGGCCTTGGGTGAACCTAAAACCACTGAATGGTGGGATTGGGGAGGTAGCTACGATTGACTTACATATCCCATCCAGGGGGGATAGCATAGGAAATTGGGAATACCTCTAACTTTAATCTGAATAAGCACAAGCTGGCACATTAATCATCATCCACATTATCAAAACGCAGCTGATACCTTCAAATTCTTTACAGTCAAGTCCAAGTCCACTATCTAACTCCATAATCCTCTGAAAAAGTTTAAAATAATTTCACAAGTTAACAAACAAAGAAACAAAGAAAATCTTACTTGAAACTTCAAGATTACACTCGCTGTAATTCTTTTGGTCTGAAATATGTCTTTTGGAGGTACAAGTTTGAAGTACATGTGCATCAAGACAATATCCCCTTAACATCTAGAATATTCTCCTTGTTCTCATCATTTAATTGCTTCACAATATTTGGAATTGCAGGGAGGAAGTAAACGGTTCATCCCCTTTGAGATAAAATAGCTAGCAGGGCTCGAAATTGAAAAAATTGTTAGGTCGCCTTTTGGTGACCAACTGGAGAAATTTAGTCGCCAGATGCAAATTTTTAGTTGCCAGTTTGTATAATCAATAGAATATTAATTTTGGGGCTGGTTGAAAGTGTTTAAGCTTGTTTAACTTCATCATCCGGTTTCTGGTCGCATGGAACTCACTCGCACAAGTTATTACGGAAATACGAGAACAAAAAACTAACATAGTTATACAAAACAATCTTACCCAAACTTAATAAGTAAATAAGAGTTTCTAGCCGCTATCTTTGTAGCTTAGGGGAGCCAAACACAACTGTATGGAGATAGCACGTACGAAGGAATCAACATGGCCAATTCCATTCATTACCAGATCTCCTCTTTGTAAGGAAACCGCTTGCCAGTGAAACAAAGGCACAGTAAATGACACAGATCTTTTATGGTGCGATCCATCAGATTTGTGACTGAACGTTAGTTTCAGATCAAGATTTCACAGAAAGAACTTACATGTAATACGGATTTGATAGGCTCGCTTGCTAATTTGTTATGCATGATGATTTACATTGTCTCGCACATGTTCTCTCGGAAACCAGCGGAAACCCAAGCAGAAACCACGCGAATATGTGAAAATCAAACACTTCGTTCCAGCNTACAAAACAATCTTACCCAAACTTAATAAGTAAATAAGAGTTTCTAGCCGCTATCTTTGTAGCTTATGGGAGCCAAACACGACTGTATGGAGATAGCATGTACGAAGGAATCAACATGGCTGATTCCATTCATTACTAGATCTCCTCTTTGTAAGGAAACCGCTTGCCACTGAAACAAAGGCGTAGTAAATGACGCAGATCTTTTATGGTGTGATCCATCAGATTTGTGATTGAACGTTAGTTTCAGATCAAGATTTCACAGAAAGAACTTGCATGTAATATGGATTTGATGGGCTTCAAGCTGTCATCAGAGATAAAAATGTCAGGATAAAGGACGTTAAATTGAGTAAGTTAAATCTCATTTGATTGGGTTTTCTTGGAGTTCTTGTAGGAAATCTTTTACAGACTTCAGTAAAAGCTACTAAAGGAAACGAATGGCAGTGGAAGTCAAATACAGCTTAGAGGAAGAGCTTGATAATGGACCGAAGACTTTTAAGAAAAAGAGCTTTAATGTCAAGTCTTGTAGTAGTCAAGTATGGATTTTGGAATAAATGTGCAGTACAGGACAGCACTGTAGAATACACAAGAAATCTTCACAAACGTTATCAATTTTTACTATCAATGTACGAACGACTCGGAAAAGTCTCAATGCCATGTACTTGGCGATGCACATGTAACTCACATGAGCTGGTTATCTTACTGAAAATCATATGATATGATAAATAGAACTCTTCTCTTTTTCATGCAAGTAATCAACAAAATCTTTCTTATACCTATACATAGTTAACTCGCTAAGTTACAAATTGAAGAGTTCATAATAAATATACATGTAACTTCTAAACGGTAACAATTTTATATTACACGGTTCAGAACTGCAGTTATATTATTTTGAATGTGAATATTATTTGATGCGATTGCCTGATTCAACGCAATCGGTTACCTCGTTTGAAAACAGCTAACGGACTTATCAATGGGACGAATAGCAAAAATGACATACTTGATTTGATTTGATTATTCTAAAATTATGTGTGAACTTGAATTCTCCTGATTTAAGCGAACATGTAATTATTTCTAAGATAAAGCTTCCTAGTACACCTGACCAGCTGACTAGGTCGACGGCTGTTTTGATCTCTGATTGCAGACTTTCAGGCAAGCCATCCCCACGCTTTACTGTGCCTTCCAATGAGCCTGTCAAAGTTATGCCCTGAAAGCCACTTGCACTCTTGACATTTTTCAGGAATGCAGGCAAATGTCCATCAGGGATGGGATGACTCTTCAGACATTCAGCTCTTGCCATCGCTTCTTTAACAAGTGAAACCGACACGGGCAGGATGAGATCGTTACACTGCATTTGAAGACTCAGCTTGCTAAGAATAGAGAATAAACCAGCCAGAAAATGGCAAAATGCTGTGAAGTGGACATCTCTCATTTTGCCGGCAACAAATTTTGCCCGTCCTTGGATGTCCGCGTTCTTTGAAGAGATGCTCAGATGTTCCATGTGGAATAATACCGCAGCATATTGTCTGGCTTCGTCACATAAGGAATCTTTGGGGGAACGACCCACAAACACATTCAACGCACGGGTGACGTGGTAACCAACGGGTTCCAATAACCTGGGAAGGTTTTAGGATATTTACATCGAGCTCTTCTGTAATGGATTTGAGGGTGCGTACAGATTTCGGGCTGTAATGGTAGGTCTTCCAAATGAGATGAAGGACATTGTAAACGCACTCGACTGACTTGCATTTTTTCTGCAAATCTTGGAGTGCAAGCTCCAGCCTATGTGGAAGGCAGTGAAAGCCCAGGATGTGTGGGACTTCTTTCTTTAAGAGAGCTGCCACTCCTCCCTTCTTTTCCAGATTGACGGCAGCGCCATCAGCCCCAAACCTGACTGCCTTGGTTTTCCAGTTGCCAAGACCAGCATCTTGAAATACTGAATTGATGACATTTTGAATTCCTAATAGAAAAACATGAAAGGATATTGTTAATTGCCGCTTACAAGTCACGGTTCCCAGCTATAAGCCCGAAAAGCAGCCTTGGAGGTGAATAGAAAACTATAGTACATATATATTAAAAAAACTGAATTACTTCTCTATAATAAGATTTTGACTTTTTAACATTCAAAGCAGAACGCAAAAACAAACAAAAGGTAGAATTCTTAGAATGTTACTTTCGAAAAGAATTTCTGTATTTGTAATAGTTTTCAGCTTGTTCAGTGAAGGATATAAAAGCGACCTATCTATTTGCAACATACGCATATAGCCAATACATTTGCCCGTCGGAATTTTTAATTGTTTTTTAGCTCAAAAACAGTAAAAATTCCAACAGGAAAAATGGACTAAATACGCCCCTTATTTGGATTTTTAAAAGTAATTATTCTTGCCTAATTACCTTCTGCAGTGACATGTTCAACCACTTTGTGCCTGACTAAGCGGTTTATTGGCTTGCCATCACGAATAAAACGAGTGTATACGGTCTCATTTTCTAAGCCCCCAGCATCAGTCGCGCCGTCTGCCATCACACTGATGTAATTCGTCCTTGTGACTTCATCTGTGAGCTGGTCTTTGTACACATTACCAATTACCAACACCATTTTGGCACATGACTTGTCATTAGCATAGGTCATGTTTATTTCGAGGCCGTTCTTCTTTTGGAGGGACAAGAGACCTTCGTATTTGCTAAAGGGCAACTCCTCTTTTGCAACAAAGTATGCTGTATTCATCTTTATCGTTATCTCTTTTCGATCTCTTTCCTCTTGGTCTTTCTGCCCCTTGGAAAAACTTCTGGCTATTGAAGACTGCTACGGGGTTCTGCTTGGCTTGCAGGGCTGTCAGCTCTCAAATGGCCATTGCTTGACCCATGAATTTGAGTGGTTTCCTTTTTAAAGGAATTCGAGCCAGAAATAAACTGTGATTTCCCTGCTACCCCTGGTACTTGAATACAAATACTGCAGGTCATGCAGTTGTTTTCTTCCGAAAACATCAGCCACAGGAATTCTTGTTTCCACTTTGAAAGGAATTTTCTTTTCTGGCCCACATTTGGTGCTGATGGTTCCGGTTGTTTCTTGGCCTTACTAGAGTCCCCCAGTCCAGCCATTTCCACAGTTCTTTTTTGAACTGGTTTGCTGGGTGGTGTTTCACAGGTGGTGGTCAACTTCTTTTCAAATGAAAACAGTGTCGGCTGTTATTTTGGTTTCACAGTGATCACGTTTTTCGAAGATTTGCCATGCTTTTCTTTGTCTTTGTCATTGGCTTTCCACTTATTTATGATTGGAACTAAGTGATTGGGCTCATACTAAGTTCCAGGGCGATTGTCAAAACCTCCTGCTCTTGACCATAGAGTGTTTACTTGGCCCGGTGGTATTTCTGATTCAGGCGACAATCTTGGAATCACAATTCTATGCAACAACTTNCATGTTCTCTCGGAAACCAGCGGAAACCCAAGCAGAAACCACGCGAATATGTGAAAATCAAACACTTCGTTCCAGCAGTCTTTTTGCAAAGATCTGCGCCCACGGTACCAAGGGAATAGCTGTAATGGCATCGAAAATATCGCGGACAGAAGTCGGTAGAATTCGGAGGTAAACTCGCTTTGTTTATGCGATTTGGCCCATTTTTTTTTTACGGCGAAAGCAAAGCAAGACAAGACAAAATGTTTGTTTTACCTTTAATCTTCTAATTTAAATCTAAATCATAGAAAAATCTGGTCGCTAAATTGGCGACTAAACCAGAATTTTTAGTCGCACTGGCCACCGTATCGGTTGCAATTTCAAGCCCTGACTAGTTAAGGCAGCATTTCACATCATTCTTTCCTCACTGTTTGCCATCATCAAGGCAGATTTTTTAAAACTTTGTCATTTCCCTTTTATGATAAAACTCTAGTTTCACGAGTAGGGTGAGCAGAAACATAGCATTTTTATGTAAAAAAAAAAAAACATTTACATTGTTAAGAAACTGTAAATGAGCTGCAGAGTTTGTTTCCTTATTGTGGAAAATTAATGTGACATGGTATATAATAGTTTGTTACTCACTGCTCTTGCAGACCGCCGCAAACATCTCTCAAATCCCACAGCATCATCATGATGCACAAAATTGAGGAAGTTCTGGTGCATCAAAAATGTCTGTTGATAAATAGAACACAGAGCAGTCAAACTGACACAACTATTTCATGCAAATGTATCATTAATCTTGGCAGGCAGTTTTTCAGCTCTCAAGATTATCCTCTTTAGAGAGGTCTGCTGGGCTAGGAGTCTAAAATGCTGGTAAACTTCTTGGATTTCTCAAGACAGTCAAATTGTGAGTAACAAAGCAACAAAGTCACAGTTCACCATGTCCACCCCTCTGGCTCTTAACTACGTCTGGACCTTTCACAGAATGATTAAATTTTAGCTGCCAATAATACAACAATATTAGAGCAGTTTTCAAGTGAGTGTTGAAAGTTATTGGGCAATTAATTTGGTTTTACTTTGTTTTGAGATTAGGTGAGTAGTCTAATTGGTAAGTAATTGGTTTGGTTTTGGTTCAACAACACTCTGAAAACCGCTCTTTTACCTACATTTGTTAGTCTTAGCAAATGCCAGAGTCTCTTTCAAAGATAAGTTACCTGCGTGTATCCAAGGTATCTGTAGACATTTTCAGAGGCAAAGAAAACATCTCCTGTTTCTGACAGGACCAAGAAAAAGGAATCCAAAGCCTATGAAAATAGAAAGATCAAATATTTAGAAAAGATTGGTTGTCTGCATGTATCCTTAGAGTAATGCAACAGGATTACTCTAAGGAACAGATACTTAACCTAATGTATGTATCAAATTGAAGCTAAAATTAATATATTAAAGCTTTAGAGACTCCCCAAAATAATAATTAATAATAACAATATTAATTTTATGAATGATCTTCATTGCAATGAGCTCTTAGCTCTTGCAATGATCTGCACCTCCTAAAGGCAATCTTAGTTTATTTGGACATTGTCTAATAACTTGTACGTAGTTGATATATCAAAGGTACTAAAATTCTAAATATTTGCCACCAATAAAACATTATAAATTGGCTGACTTCATTTAGTATGTTGTTGGATAAAGAGCCTCCTGACCACACACAATACTGTGCAGTATAAGGACTACATATTGAAATTCCATTACAGTTTGCTTGGTGCTACATTAATAAACCAGTCCCATCCGTTCAAAGATCTGTGATTACCTTTAGTTCATAAATATATACTCACACACATGCTATAATCTCAATTCTGGTAAAATCTTTTTATTAGCAGCTGGTGCATTTCTACACTTGATTTGCAAGGAATTTTGTATATACTTGAAAGCACATCATGTGAACATCTCATTTGAATAAAGAAATCATGGAACTAATTTTGGCCCCAAGAAACATACTTTAACCCCCTAAATAAAGTGCACAAAAATGCAGAGTCTTCAGGTAGTATACAGACTACAATCTGTCTAAGAATTAACACTGAGATATGCAAATGAGGAGTAATTTACAACACAAACTACATGTAAGTTGGAATTTGACTTACATTCCATAGATATATATTCATGCTAAAAAGGTAGTGTCAACTAATTAATGTAATCATTTGACTTATACACCATAATGGGTAATCCTATTTTTAAATTGGAATTTCAAAGCTTTATGCAACACAGATTAAGAGCCAAAATTGGTTTCTCCTTTCCCGTTGTTTATATGCTCACCCTACAGTACCGGTCAAAGGGACTGCAAAATTACACTCGCGCAAAGCACAAGTACTACACACACATTACACGCAGTGTCCACAAATACTACACGCAGACTACCCGCATTTTACGCGTGTGTAGGTGCTGCAATCCCTTTGGCCGGTACTGTATGTCCATACTCAACACTGTAATTGATAGAAAAATATCTCTCTTCTATGCATTATTGACAGAAATATATTCCGTTTTCAAGTGTCATGCCAGAAGCTCAGTTATACATGTATGTACTTTACTTTAAAAGTTGTAAGTTACATTATTTTCTCTGGAACATTATTAAAGGAGGTCATTCAGCTTTTCCACTCACCTGGCTCTGAAGTGCCTGCTATCCTGAAGAAATTCGTCACAAAAGAAGCGACTTTGGAGGCCGCCATTTTGAAACTGTACTTGGCAGCCAGGCCATGTTTATGTAACATCATTCTGTCCGACTCAAAATTGGCAGGAAGGAAAAAAACCTGCAAATGACTTTGCATCCTTCACACACCTCCTCACCTATCTTCTTCGCGCTCTGTTGCGCATAAGGCCGCTTGCATCCTTCACAAGGTCAGCAAATTGTATTTTTCCAAGTGATTATCCACTTCACCATTTTCAATGCCATCATTTTGAAGTTTGGAGCATGTTTGGCTCAAAATGATATGGCTCAAGGGCAGCCATAACCCAGAGTGGTAGTTAAAAGGCTCGTTGCAAGCCATTTAGACAAAATCTCTTGGACAGAATGATGTCATGAACATGTGGCCTGGCTGCTGAGTACTGTTCAAAATGACTGCAAAGATGTCAAATTTTGGGCTTCTTTAGAGGCAAATTTCATAAGTAAATCCTACACTTTAGAGGCTGAAACTTCAGTGAGTGGCTAAACTTAGTCCAAGGTTTTTATTAGCTTTGACAAAAAACATATGTAAGTTTTTGGAATGACCTCCTTTAATAACAACAATACAGGTGCCCTTTTCAGTAAAGTTTGTTCTTGAAGGCTGGGAAGTGGGCAGATTTGACAGGTTTGTTTGATCTCTTCATTAGCATAAATTTCAGGGAACAAGAAGATCTGTTAGATCTTATAACTGCGCTTTTAAAATTTAACTGTTTGCTTAGCACTACCGTCGGAATGCAGTGCACATTCCAAAGCAGTC